ACCACCACCCATAGCCCGATTAGTTCAGCTGGATAGAATGTCTGCCTACGGAGCAGATGGTCGTAGGTTCGAATCCTGCATCGGGTATTTCAAGTTATCGAGTAACTTACTTGATACGACTGTCTTCTGTGAAGTACTGATACATTCCCTCTGCTACTGCTTCGAGATTGCTATCGCCACCAAATCGTTCGAGTAAATTAAGACCATTACGCGGCTCTATCACGAGCTCCGACTGCCGGTCGAGTACCGCATTGCGCACCTGATGGAACAGGAATGAAAACCGCGGGTTCTAAGGGCCCTCCAATCCTCGTAGGGCTCACTCACCGAATCAAGCGTGATGATAACCTCATCCACCAAGCTGTCCTCGTGGCCTTGTGAGAGCAGCGCCCTCGACATGTCCGATAAAAAAGCGTCGAAATGATAGTCTGTGATGCCCAATGGCTCGTGTATATCTGGAATGGACCGGGTTAGAGTCGGAACGATCGCCCGAGGGTGATCAACTAAGCTGTTCTGCTCTTCACTTTTTGTCCCACCTGTTAGGTCACGCCCTTCATACTCCGGAGGTCCACCGAACAGCTCAATGAAGAAGCTGAAGAGAGTTCACAGATACCCCGGCAAGTGAAAGGAGGTCGGGTCCTACATTAGCTTAGCTTCTTTTATGAGTTGCATACTATCTACAGGGAAGAATTCTTTGATACGAGCGTCTTTGCTGATGAGGTTGAAGAGGGTATCCATCAGTCGAGCTATGCCTTCTGTCTCGACTGAAGAAATCAAAGAACGAGGTCGGAAAAAATTCGAAGGGAGAACAAGGAGACGAGAGAGCTCAAGAGCCCGCGGGGGCGGGCCGCGGCTTCCATAAAATTCGATGAGGCGGATGGATTGCGCTATTATACACTGTTTGACGTACAGAGCCGCTCGTAGAGTCCCTCGCCTGTTTCACAGCGCGCAAGGTTTTGACGCGCCATCTCTCGGCGGACCGTACATCCGGTTGTGATCTCTGGGCGCAACTTCTGTAGTATCTGCAGCGAGCACCCACACCACCACGCGGATTGGTAATAGTACGCCCGATGTTCATGTCAAATTTAAAACTCTATGCTAGCAGTATCGCACGGAACACTCCTGTAATCCAGGGTAGCACGGGTGAGGAATGCGAGAACCCGACCACCTACCGAAATAAGCTCTTCAAGATCTTTGGAGTTTATATGGAGGGTCTCGCCAGCCTGCCTGATAATACATATGACCGCGTCGAAGTGGAAGTCCGTAATATTCATGGAATAGTGGGATGGTTTCAAGTCAGCCAAGTCGTATCTGGGAACTTCAACGTGGGTGTGGGAGAGTGAGGAAAAAGAATACTGTTTCGATCCTCCAGTTACAGTTCCTATCAACTGCGTGATTTTCTTTTTAATCGTAGCTACCTTCGCTTTGTTCTTCTCGAAAAAGCTCTTCGTACCTGATCTTAAAGAGTCTACCACCGACTCATGATACTCCCGATTTATGTCATAATGGCAAGATACGAGAACGGCTAGGGAAACTAAAGACATAGCCCGATTAGTTCAGCTGGATAGAATGTCTGCCTACGGAGCAGATGGTCGTAGGTTCGAATCCTGCATCGGGTACTTTCATAGTCACTAAGTTGGATTCAACGACACACCCAATCGTCACAACCGTTCCTACGTGAATCCTCCATCGCCTCGGTGTAAAACATTTCCGATAATTTAGCTATTGACATCTCACCACCGAGTCGCTCATACAGAGGCTTCTTGTTAGCCATCGCTTGAGCTCGTCTTACCTAAACCAAGAGTTGCAAGCACTCCCATGTAGACGTCGTCCTTCATTAATTAAATACTGCCACCACTTACATCATGATTAGCCGGTTTGACGATCCGGGAACGGCACGTCTCCATTAGTATGATGCAAGAGTCTATAGTCTCGGGATCTTGATCAGCCTCCTCCAACACTGAACAAGAAAAACGGTTGAGCCTTCATAATTTCGGAATGGTTTTTTATTTTGTCAACTGCTATTCTTATGTACATCAGAGCTCGAAAGAACCACACAACTTGCACGCATACTCAAACAGTGAGACGTGCACAGCTTTGTTTTCGCACACACTGCACACTATAGAGTTCACGTTTGAGTTCTCAAACGAAACGGTACTAGTGCTAGCTGAGCTGTCAAACTCACGGGATTCCAATAACAAGAATATTCCCACAGCATGGAGCACATGCTTTGAAAGGGAAGCCAGATATAATCGCCGAGTGCTAGTCTCTGCCGCAGAATTTCCACGGCGGAAACGAGTTGGAGTTCTCACCGTTCTTCATAAGATTCACGAAGGCATCCATATGGTAGTCGTATATATCAATCATCTGATGAATCCGCTTCAGTTCTCTCCCTTTGTATCTGCAAAGGATGCCTTCTACGGAAGATTCTCTCAGTTCATTGTTTAGCTTGAGATATGTCGGATACCAGCCGACTGCGCCTGCGGTGGCGTTATGATTTCCTCGACAAACAATCTCTTCTATACTTCATCACTTTCCAGAGACCACCGTTGGACCAACTCACTCTTCTGCGCCACCAAAAAGGTGTGTTAAAAACTTAGTCTGAGACTGCGCGATCGCCGCTAGCTTCGCTCCGCCCAAGAATGGGGACAATCGTTCATCTCTGTCCACTAGTCTGCTTGAAGAAAGGGTGACAACTCGTCTACACTGGGTCGCTCCCTCACTCGTAGAGTCGCTGTACGGCCTTCGCGATACCCTCCTCACCACCGAGCTGCTTGAACAGACCCTCAGTGCCTTTCAACAACGAAAATAAGTACATCAAATACTCAGTCGAAATTTGACTTCTGCCGAAGCTGGAAATGCACGAGATAACCCAGCTTACCGCCTATCTCTGTACGTCTCTTGGCCAACTCT